ATGCTATCCTCCCACCTCAGCCTCCCAAAAAGTGCTGGGATTTCAGGTGTGTGTGTCACCATACCAGGCTATGTATTTTATTTCTGTAAGTTCTATTTCATCCATTTTCCTTTCAGGTCTTCCTCATCATTTCTGGTGGTCTTACTGCTTGCTCAATTTTATGAATGAATTTATATATATTTTAAATACACATTAGATTTCACATGTAACTATTTTCCCACAATTTCAATATTTGAAGTTTGTGTTCTGTATCTGATAATTCCAAAAACTAGTCTTTGGGAAATATGTTATTCATTATTTTTAACAATTCTCAAACATGTTGGGTTGACTACTTGAATGTTATGATTTATCTGAATTCATAGTTGCCTGCTTTTAATCTTTGGCAACCTACAGGCTTCAGTTAGAGAAAGCTTCCCTCAAAAAGTATCGGTGTCTGCTTTTGATGAGAGCTGTGGATAAAACTAATATAAGACCACTTTACCACCATGCATAATGCTGACATTCTCTTAGATTCTCTTGGAAAATCTCAGGATTACACAAGGTTTTCAAATTTGGCTCCCTAACCTTGCTCATTTATACAGACAAGACGAGATTGCTTAGTATTGTTGGTGACTCCCTTCCTCCTACCCTGGAAAAAACAAAACACATCTCTCATCTGAATGTGATCACAGACTAGGAAATTCTAAAGGTGAATAACTGGAGGCTGTGGGCAGTAGGGAAAGACAGGTGTCTTTCCTGACCACAGAAATAGGGCAGAACCTGCCCTAAAGACTGTGTGCTCCAGCATTTCTATGTAGCTCAACCATCAGTCCCTCCGTAAAAGTGAACAGAAGCTTCTTAGAGCACCATGTGGCCTTTAAACCAAAAATTCTTGCTAAAAGTCATGGTCATGGTAAAAAAGCTATGGCTTTGGAAGGCTTTCTCGGTAATATCCTAGAATTAAGGTTACAGCTGCATTTCATGTTAACTGAATCGAAAACCAGCCGGAACAACATCCTTCTGTCCCATGGCGTGCTCTCAGCTCCTCTCGGTTGGGCCTTGGGCAGCCAGACTGTCTGGTTTTAATCCTCGCTCTGCCACCTGTGACCTTGGATAAGTTATCTACCTTCAGTTACCTCATCTACAAGATGCAGATATTAGTAATACCCTCTTTTTAAGTCATTAAGAGGATTGAAAGAATTAATAAAAAGTAAAAATTAAAAAGACTTGGTAAGCATAGGCACAGAGGGGGAAAAAAAGTAAAAATCAATCCATAAATAAAAAGACTAGTGCCTAGCACGTAAAAGTTCATCAGGAATTAATTCTATAATATGAACTCAATTTTGCAAAACTTCAAAGTACATATAACTTTTAACTTACTAGGGTATACATACCAATAATAAATGTACAACTGTAGCCATGTTTGTCTTCAGTAAATATAACAAAGACTAAACAAGCAGGTACTAAATAATTAAGTGATTATCAGTTAGTATCTTCAATTTTCCTATACTTCTGTATTTTCTATAGATCATCTTTGCAACAAGAATAAAACAAACCAAATGAAAATGAAATGAATTCTCTCAAAAAGAATTAAATCAAGACAGGAAGAAGGCTCACAAAGTAATACAAAATATATCTTATGGTTTATGTAAAATTCTTCAGAGAAGTACCTTCTTTGCTCCAAGCTGCACTCTGGCTTTGCCTTTGAGTCAGGAGGCATTTCTTTGAACAATGACCAATTATCGAGTAGGCACTGCTTCATCCCTACAGGAAGAACAAAACATCTCTGGAACACAGCAGCATTCCTGATTCCCACTTGAGTAGGCCTAACAAAATGGCATATGCCTCAACAGCAGCAGATCGGTGTTAAAAAGTCTGGAGTCAAGGGGGAAAAGTAAAATTGGAACATTTCTAGAATCT